CCTCATCACCGGTATGCCGATTGATGGTAGACCGGTTATTGGCAGGATAGGGAAAACAGAAAGTTTATTTTTGAATGCTTTTGGTATCGATCCTCCTCCAGAGTCTTTGGATGGAGGGAGGATTAGGCTTAGTTGGTTAAGAGAAAAGTATAGTAATAACCCAGTACGTCCAGATGAGGATGGGTGGGCACACTATCTTAGAGCCTATGTCATGTATGTCATTGGGTCATATATAATACCCGATGACTGCACTGGGTTAGTTTCTGCCCAGTATTTGGGGCTCTTAGACAATCTTCAGGAGGTTGGCAGCTATGCGTGGGGCGCAGCCGCATGGGCGAGCTTGTACAATTCTTTGGATCGAGGAATCGTAAATGGCTTGGCATACGCTCTCATGGTAAGTATTTGCATGATTCAATATCAAACAGCACCATTCTGACTTTAACTAAACTTGGATTTGATGTTTTAACTTCTCTACTTTTCTGATCTTTGTTTATTACTCGTCCAGGTTTTTGCCCTAGAGCATATAAAGCCACTACGCATAAAGCTGATAGGGGAGACAGTGGATCTCCCGATGGAGTGTCCATTAATGGTGCCGTGGTCCCACCTTCTCCATAAACGCTTGAATGGGAACACAGTTCCCAATTTTGGATCCTATATGGAAATTTTGGGGAACGCAACCGATGAAAATGTAAGTCTTTAAAGACTTATTTAAATACAGTTCTTATTTAAATGCAACCAAATTTTGGAGCTATAGTTCTTAATAATTTATTTTGTATTTTCTATTGTAGTTCATACAGCAGCCTTATCAGAGGCTTAGCCATACTCTTCTAGGGGAGGGTTATGAGCGTTATGCCCTTCAGCTGGCTAAGGCATGTTCAGTCACTTTGTGCATCAATTATCACATAGTCGTCCCTCACAAACCAAACAACTATGCAAGGCAATTAGGTTTTGAGAATATAGACCTAGATTCGATACCAGAGCTTCCTGATGTGGTGGTTGAAGTAAGAAAGAAGGGGCCAAAGAAAGATTTAAATCTTGCTGGCCACGGGAACTTTCCCTTGTACATTAACAGCTGGGTTGGCAGGTTTCCTTTGAGAGGGCCGCGGATAGGTAAATGCATTCTGGTTTCTTAATTTTTTTTTTAATAATTCTGATTTTTTTAGCTGCACGGCTCTACATTTTCTTTTTTATTTATTTTTGTTATCTGGTTACCTCCAGCTGGTTTGGTAGGTCCTCCATACACTGTGGAATTGCCGGCGCATGACGTGCCTGTGCATGCCCTTCATGACGACCCACCACTGTCCCCGCATGATGAGCCACTACGGACCCTAAAACCTAAACCCAGGAAGAGAAGAAGGGAAGTTCTGCAACCTAGTTCTACTGCTGTCCCGTCAGCATCTCATCAGGCAGAGCCCTCCACCTTGCCTGCACCTGAACAGCTGACTTGTGTTGAGGAACCGGTTAGGCGTAGATATAGTCTTGCCTTTTTTCTTATGCATCTCTCTTTTTAGGCTTGCATTCATTAAGTTAGCCTAGCATGCCTTTTATTTGAATTTTGTTGTTCATGGATTTTGTTACAATACTTAAAAGAACATGAGGTTAATATGGTGGGATTAAATGAATTATTAGTTAAAAGATTGAGTGGCTTAGTTGATTGGAAAATGATTTTTTGTTCATCATTCACTAGCTAAAAGAACATAACAATAGAGTAAACTGGTTTTTAATATATTAAAATAGTCGCAACTTTGTCGATTCAAATGTGGATTAAAATGAAAATGGTGGGTGTGGTGAGGACTAAACTGGGCCTATCATGCCTTTTTCTTATTTATTTCTCTTTTTAGGCTTGCGTCATTAAGTTAGCCTAGCATGCCTGTTATTTGAATTTTGAAGTATATGAAATTTTGTTGTGCATGGATTTCATTACGACTTGTATGTAATGAATGTGATTTTTTTTTTTAAACCGTTTTCTTTGTAGTGACATTGAATATTAATAAGGATGTAAATGTGCCAAATCATAAATGGTTTACTGGGATTGTCGTATAATGCTATTTTGAAATTATGTTACCCATACTGATTGTTAATGTGCCTAATCTTAAAAAACAATATTTTGATTTTATGTTAGGAGGGGTCACAATTTGTTGACAGAGACACGTTTGAGAAGGCTGATGCTGCAACATCTCCATCATGCAATCCTCCACTTCCGGCATCTCAAGATCAACAATCTGATGCAGCACCAGTTGAAGTTGTAGAAGCGGCAACACCACCAGTCTCCAATTCATCGCCTTCCATAGTTGCCAACGTAGAATCTGAAAACAACTCATCATCACAGTTGCTTCAAACCCCAATTGGTTGGCCTCATGATGGCGAGCTCACCCTCAACTGGGTCCAAAACCTCATGTTAGTCTTCGACTGGGCTTCTAGAAATCTTAAGCCGACCCAATTTCCAGACGTGTTTCCTGTTGAGGTTCTTGATAGTCTGGTCCTTTGTGCCTCCCAGATCCTCCACAAAGAGGCCAATTGCGTCACCATTGACAACTTAGCCTCAGAATCCACAGTCGTCGTCGTCGGAGACCTTCACGGGCAGTTGCACGACCTTCTTTTCCTTCTCCGTGATGCTGGCTTTCCCTCAGAAAATCGATTCTTCGTCTTCAATGGAAATTATGTTGACAGAGGTGCTTGGGGTCTTGAAACTTTCCTAATTGTGTTAGCTTGGAAAGTGTTCATGCCGAAAAGGGTGTATCTTTTGCGAGGAAATCATGAATCAAAGTATTGCACTTCTGTCTATGGTTTTGAGAAGGAAGTGTTGACAAAATATAGTGATAGAGGCAAGCATGTGTATCGTAGATGTCTTGGTTGCTTTAAAAGTCTTCCTCTGGCTTCCCTCATTGGTAAACATGTGTACACTGCACATGGAGGTGTATTTCGCCACATGCCTGTGATCCCCAAGAAATCAAAGGGAATGAAGAGTCGTAGGATGGCTTTCAATCCTGAATCTGATTCATTATCTTTGGGATCTTTTGAAGAACTAAATAAGGCTAGAAGATTAGTTCTTGATCCTTCATGGGAGGGTTCCAACTTGATTCCCGGCGACGTGATGTGGTCAGATCCTTCAACCACTCCGGGTCTTTCTTTAAATATCGAGAAAGGAATTGGTTTGATATGGGGTCCTGATTGCACTGATAATTTTCTCAAGAAATTTCAACTAAAGTTGATTATCAGATCGCATGAAGGCCCTGATGCACGAAAAAAGAGACCAAGTCTTGGTGGAATGGATGAAGGGTACACCATCGATCACGTTGTGGAGTCAGGAAAGCTGATCACTTTGTTTAGTGCTCCAGACTACCCACAATTTCAGGGGACAGAGGAGAGGTACAAAAATAAAGGGGCTTACATTATCTTGGAACCCCCTAATTTTGATGATCCTGTATTTCATAGTTTCGAAGCAATTACTCCAAGACCAAAGGCGGATCCCTTTTACAATTTTGAAGATGTGACTGATGCTGATGAAGAGTTGGGCTTGGCATCAATGGTGACCAGTTCGTGAAGGTACATTATCACCTCTATACTTTTTAAATATATATATTTATATGTGTACATATATTTGTATAATATGTTTCCTTTGGAGTATATGTGCCATTTCTTTTCTCTTCTATTGTTTTTAGTTTTTATATTGCTCTGGTTCAAAAAGATAATTTATCAACAGAATATGACTGTGAAGTGAAAAATAAATATATTGCTGTACTAAAAAAACTAGGATCTGTATTGATGCAGTAATCATTGGCAGTTTGATTTTACACATCTAACATAGAAACAGTGGCTTTCTAAAAAAGAATTAATAATAATATAATAATAAATAAATAAAACAATGGAAATAGGTTACTATTAACCAGAGTAGTTAAGAATACGATCATCTGAAATTATACTAGCAGTGTGAGTGGGAATTGGGAAATGTGTGAACTTATTGGGATAATTTTGAAGTTCCTTGAGATGTCAGGTAAATGGATTATAAGGACCATGTGGGTATAATTTGAAAGGGATGCAATTGGAGATGCGATATTACCTATAATCTGAAAGGATAAAATCTGTTTGTGACATCCTTATAGAGCAACCACGAATGTGGTTTATCATAGCAAGATGAACTGGTTTCAATTTTTTATAATTCTTCAATGTCAATCATGTAAGGTGTGTTATGCTCTGCTTTCAATATTAACCACTTATTACATGTTGAACAGGTTGAACTTGCTCACAAGTTTGAAGGACTGGAGCATTTTAAGAATGATGAACACCCACAATTTTTGTTGATCCTGGCAGGGAAAAAGGAAGAAGAAAGAATCATTTATTTCCTGGATCTTATTATTAGTACCACAACTTTTGTTTCTTTTAATACTTGCACAATTTTATGAATTTTAGAGGGAAGTTACAGCATGACCTTGGATGCTAAGCCTTGTCTGTTGACGAGAGGAAACAAATATTAAAACTGGTTTTGTGGGTGAACGGGTGCCGTTTGCAGCATATGCTGGATTATTCATGCTATTGAATCCTTGGGAAATAGAACTTTCCAGGGTATCCCTGTTCATAAACTGACATATTACAGCTGTGAAGTATATAGCTCCACTTTCATGTCAACATCAACAAGGAGACACAGCTCCACATGCCTACCTCATCTAGTGCATAATTTGTGTTGCCACACATCCAATTTTACATACCTTTGTATATCCAGTGGCAATAGGTGTATGTACTATTGAGAAAAGATCAATTACACAGGACTAAGTGTCCAGTGAGAGAGATCCAAATTTAACAGCTAATATTAATGCAAATGATTGCCGAACATGATGAGAAAATACAACCGGCGGGATCTCAAAAATATAGTATTAGATACATGCATATTATCACCATCATCTTTAATTCACACAGGACTAACTAAGGTTGCTGCATGCTGACTGATAAATGTGGACGACTTTTATCATTTTTTTTTTTAATACCCCAACCAACTGTTATCACCCACCGAATCTTATAATAACTCTGTTTCGGCCTTTGCCTGCCCCTTACTTTTCATACTTTTCACATTTTTTTACTTCTTTTTCACACACACAGGCACAGAATAGAACACGATCTCCCAATCCTCGCATTCGCACTTCTTCGGACTAGCGGTTCTCGTAATGATTTACAACAGTCGTGGCCCAAAAGCCAATATTGCTAAATATATTCAATGGGATTCTGCAGACTGGATATGAGACCAGTATTCCTTGACAAGCTGCCCAAATAGTGAGCCTTCTCTTTTCATTAACTTCATTGGCTCATCATACTCCACTATTTGTCCTGAAATGGATAAAACCATTTTCATTCAATGTTTCTCTGATATTTTTCCAACAATTATGATTGAACGAAACAACTGATATATAGATGAGCATTTAACTAATGAAACTCACCATCACTAATGGCAAGAACCATTGTGCAATCCATCACAGTCGGTATCCTGTGAGCTACCGTAATCACGGTACAATCTGCAAATTCAGTCCGTATAGTTTTCTGTAGAATCATATCGGTGGCATTGTCGATCGATGCGGTTGCTTCATCAAGCACAAGTACCCGACTTCGCCTCAAAAGAGCACGCCCCAAACAGAACAATTGCCTTTGTCCCATGCTCCAGTTTGATCCATCATCTACAACTGCAAAAGAGGTCATAAGTTGCTACTGCTGATCACAATTAACAGGCAAAATTGCACATCACACACTGATATATCAAAACTTACCCAAGGAGTCTAAGCCACCTTTCTCCTGAACAGCATCTCGAAGCTGACACTTCCCAAGAACCTTCATAATGTACAGATAACTCTTTGCTTAGTTCAAATTTGCAACCATACTTAAACATTCAAAACGGAATATTACAGAAAACAAGCATTACAGAAGTTGACTAGTACCTCCCATATTTCCTGGTCTGAATGTTGAGATAAGGGATCCAAATTGTATCTCACAGTTCCATTGAAGAGAGTAGGATCTTGGGGTATTATTCCAAAACGTGACCTCAGATCATGAAGTCCGACTGTAGAAATGTCAACACCATCGACTATAATCTTCCCTCCCGCTGGCTCCACCAGACGAAACAGAGCACCTATGAGAGTAGACTTCCCACTGCCTGTTCGACCAACAATACCAATCTTGTGTCCTCCTTCAAAAATGCAACTGATCCCAAGAAGAACAAGTGGTGTATCGGCCCTGTATCTGATCTGTTTTGAAATCAAAAGTATCAGTCATCTACTTTAACTTTAACCTTGTTTAGTTATAACACAAAAGCTGCCAATATTTACCTGCAAATTCTGTATCTCCACTTTACCAAAAACTGGCCAGTAGGCTGGGGGACGGCTTCCTTCTACTATTTCAGGGGCTTCGCTCGGTATATGGGTGTATTGATTTAGTCTTTCAACAGAAATTATATAATTTGCTATAGTGCACTGGTTCTGAATTGAAAACATCAAGGATATGTTTAATGAAAGACCATATGAAAGTGCCATTCCAATGAATCCTGCAGTGACACAGTAAATTGTATAAGGCTCGCTTTGACAACAACAAAATTGTATAAGGCTCCATAGCTTAATTATGCTACAAATATAAATCATCTCTAGTGATTTTCTGTGCAACAAAAGGAGATGTCTAAAATACTAGAAGATAGCAACAATGACTTCTTTCCCCTTTAGCCAGGCAATTCCAGGAAAACTTAAAAACTTACCAGAGCTAAACGTTCCAGGAGGAAGCAAACTCATGCATAGTGCTGCAGAAGAAAGAACTGCTGCACTGAGTATTTCTAACCGTTGGATCAACCATTCATTTGCCGCAAAACTGTGAAAAAAAGGACTAGCATTTGTGTCAATGAGGTCAAAATTCTTCGCCAAAAACCGCTCTTCTTCATTGAAAGCTCTTATTGTAATGGCTCCTGAGACAGACTCCGCTAGATGGTTTGCTACATAGGACTTAGTTGTGCCATTGATCCGCATCAACTCTTTTCCAGTGGAAAAGTAGTATTTCTGAAAATAAAAAATGTTGTATTTAATCAAGTTATTTTCAAAAGAAAGCATATTTCTCTGCTCTTTCAATTTCATATTCAGATACTTGCTAAATTCCTAATAGATAGAAGTATAACCATTCTTAACATTGACATGTGAATAGCATCGTGTAGCCAGTTAAACGAATATAGTAGCTTCTGCCGTATAACATATAAAAGAACCTTGTATAGTATTACCTGTAGGCAAATTGCCAGATAGACCATTGGTATGGAGACAAACAGGACTTGCCAGGTAACAACAGCCAGTACTCCGAGATTGGAATATGCATTTATGGTAGCCCCACAAGCAAAGACCAGGCTGAATGGAATATCAAGGTCTATGATACTCAGATCAGATGAAACCTATTCAAGAAAAATGTAATACATAAATTTATTAGTTCCTTGAGTTCCTCCTAATCTGTACCCAAACTTTCTGTTTGAAATGCATACCCGACTAAGGATCCTTCCCAGAGGTGTTGAGTCATAAAACGACATAGGCGCACGAAAAAGGGAATTCAGTAGCTGTGAGAATAAAGACTGAGATGCCTCAAGACCCAGAACAACTGTTATAAGAGATCTGAACAGTAAAATAAATGTTGCAGAAAATCCAATCAGCAAGTAAACCATGATCAATCGCAATGTGCTGACATCGGGATTATCCACATTAGCAGCCATCCACGAGTTCTGTACAATCTGACTAATAACAAAAATAAGGTGTAAAAGAACTGCTGTTGAGAAGTACAAGAACCCATTTTTCTGTTTCAGATACTGTATGAATGGCTTCAACCCTATGTCTCCCGTTTCTCTCTCTTCTTGTTTAATCAATTGGTCACCCTTAGATGATATAAGTTGCTTTTCTACATAAGTCTTCTTAATCTCTCTGGAAGCTATTCCACTTTGGGCAGAAGTGGCATCTGCAACCCTATCAGAACCAGCAGTTTCTTTGTGTGCATTGACGAGGTCCTGAAATTCTTGGCTTGAGTCCAAAAGATGGTGATAAGGTGCTGCTTGTAGGATTTCCCCATCTAGCATCAACTGTCAACAAAATTGAACTTGATGTTATTATGTAGGAGTAACAGCTTGTGCTAGTGACTAACTAGTCATATACAGAGCTGAAACACAACGCATGATAAAATAACTACAACCCTCGTAGGTTGAATGAAAATGTGTTTTCTTTTTTGCTACAATCACAATGTGCAATTGACTGAAGGGAACGTAGAATAGGAAATGACTAGCCCCTGCCGATTAATAGATTTGAAATAAATTGATTTATGGAAAGAAATAAAAGAAAAAATGGAGAAATAGCCTAGAGTTAATGGTAGACTAACCAAAACAGAATCAAATGCAGGCAGGAAATCAACTTGATGGGTCACAAGTAAGACAGTCTTCCCTGAAAGTGCTTCCATAACATATTCCTGCCAACGTACAAATTAGCTTTCACTAAAAGCCAGAAGTTAATAAAGAAGGGCACTGCCCATGTTAGGAAAGTGTATTTACATTGAATAAGTTTGTAGCAGTATGTGCATCAACTGCACTGAATGGATCATCCAAGAGATATATATCAGCATTCTGATAGAGAGCCCGGGCAAGCTGAATTCGCTGCTTCTGACCACCACTCAGATTGACCCCTCTCTCCCCTATTTCAGTGAGGTCGCCATAAGGAAGCAGCTCCAGATCCTTTACAAGTGAACATCTCTCAAGTGTCTCTCGGTATCTTTCACCATCCATAGCAGAACCAAACAAAATATTTTCTTGTATCGTCCCTGTTTGGATCCATGCTGCTTGAGAAACATAGGCAATGGTCCCAAAAACTTGAATCTGAAAGTCATAAAGATAAATTTATGATGATAATTTTAGAAAGCCTGTGGGACTTAAAGTGCAAGTAATATCTGTTGAGATTTTCTAGTTATCAAGGGGAAAAAAAAATAGCAACTTACACTTCCTCGAACATTTGGAATTTCTCCCAGAATTGCTGCTAACAGGCTTGATTTTCCGGAGCCGACTTCTCCACATATAGCTAACTTTTCACCAGGCCTAACCTCTAAGTTTATATTTCTCAGGGTGGGCTTTGATATATTATCCTCCCATGAAAAATTAGCTGACTTGATAAGAACAGAGTGGGCTACATTCTCCATGTTGCATTTCCGGACATTTGCAGTCTGCAGTTCTGGTGCCTCGAGGAATTTTACAATGCGTTCAAATGCAACCTTGGCTTGAATGACAACCCCAATGACCTCAGGAATAGATCTAATGGGGTCCTGAACAAGGCGTAAAGTTGCCACGAAAGTGAAAACATTATTTGCATGCAATGGAACCTTGAGAAAATAACATGCTCCAAATGTAGCAGCAGAGACCAAAACAGGGGATGACCAAAAGAGGTAGGAATTATACGCTTTTCTTAACTGCACTGCCGATAACCATTTGTACTCCGCCTTCCTCAACTTTTCTATCGCATTCTTGAAATGGGTCTCCCATGCATATAGTTTTAACACCTTCATATTCACAAGAGCCTCAGAACTAGCCTTTAGCCTTTCATCTTGTGCCTCCATTAGCTTACTCTGAAACTTATGTTGTAACTTGGCAAGTGGAGCATTGCAAACCACAGTCAAAACTATCACCACCAACGCTGCAAATGTAGCTAGGCCAACGGCACGGAAAAGAATTACCAATGCAAGACAGAGCTGGAGGCTAGTGGTCCAAGTCTGATGGAACCAAAATGGGAATTCTCCAATCCTATAAGCATCCACTGTAACATAATTCATTATCTCACCACCTGAGTGTATTAACTTAGCAGCATTAGATAATCTTAATTGCTTCTTGTAAATGGCTGATGTGAGCAAAGACTTAACTTTCAAACCAATAAGCCTGGATCGTAAGTACCACTGCCTTTGTGACAAGGATTCAATTGTCTTTGAAAGGAAAAGTGTAATGGCTAACACATAACCTTCGTATCTGAAACTTTCATTTCCTTCAGCAACCAGAATGAAGGCATTTAGAAGCATAGGACCAGCAGAGACAGTGAGTACCTTTAGCAAAGCAAAGAAGCCAGACAAGAGAATCTCTTTCCAGTGGCATATGATTACTGTCTTTAGTACTGAAGGTTGGGAAGATGGTTGAATTTGTTTCTCTTTGTTTAGTTGCTCCAAGAACTGCAAATAACAACTTTCTGCTCGATCTTCCTCACGCAACTTGGGTATATCTTCTTCCTCTAGAGTTTTCTCCCTACCCTTTTTCATCAATGAATTTAGCCACCAAATTGAGGCTTTACTGAAAAATCCAGCTTTGCTAAATGGGGTAACATGAGCACTTTTACTGATGTCATTGGACTCGCCATTCAGAGGCGTATAAAGGCCATTTCCATTGATGCCCTCATCACCATCTTCATATGGATGCCCCTTATAAACACATAACAACAACAATGTTGCTCCTGGAAAAGACAGGACATCCAATACGGTCTTTACTGATAACTCTTTTCCGAAAATGGCAGCAAAAAGCGATAGAGCACAGACAATTGCAGAAAACAAGAATGCAAGGATAGACAATAGTCTTGCCGGTTGTCTTGGAAGTTGTTTTCCCCGGATGCTTACAGTCAAACCCACAAACAACCACGTGAGCCCTTGAAACAAAGCAAGTAGCCACCAATTCAAAGGCAAAGCGGTATGTGTATTCCTCAGTTTCTCTTCCAGAATCCAGATTCCCAAGCCCAAGTACACAATTCCAAGACAGCCATTAGCAAGGGCAGAGACTATTTGCAAACCTGAAAGGCCTCGAAATCGGGGTGGAATGTGACCTGTTTTTGATGAGGACTTGTGAAACATATTGAACAAGAGCGCAACTAGAAGCAAAATGTCAAACCCAATTATCAACACATGATTGACGCATGAAGAAGGATGAATCATAGACTCAAGATTGGAAGTGCATGGCTTTCCAGCTGTGCCTGAAGGACCAGATTCCCCACAAAATACAGTCCACAAATCCTCCATCATGCTTAAATTTACTCTGTAAGGTATACAATGCAAATAATAAGAAACCTTGTCTAACCAGCTTAAAAACAATCAGATAATTAATAAAAAAAATTATGGAAAAATGAAAACTCAAACAAGACATCAATGCAGTCCCTTCCAATTCACAGATGAAACATAAAGCCAAAAGCATCAAAGACATTATTAACAAAGCTAATGGGCATGTAGTGATTGCACCATACAACATAATTAGTTCACAATTAATATTAAAGGGCATACCTGAAAATGGCCCAAGAACAGGACGCCCTCTTCCTCCTCTTGGGCCTAAGCTAGTTACGCAAAATAGTTCACACAAAGAAAATGGTCCACCTACAAAATAACCAACCAATTCGTCACTGAGTTATATAAGCTCGAAAGTTAAGAAATTCAACCATAGTGATACTGCATTCGTCAGCTTCTGTATGAAACTACGAACGTGGGAGAAGAAACAGAAACGTGCATTTTCTTATCCTAAACCGCACCGCACTGGACACTTGAAGCATTTGATTAAGATCCGTTCGGCATTAAAATAATATAAGAAAACAATCTCGTTTTCGTTTTGTGCTCATTCTTGACAAATAATTTACAGCGACCACAAAGTTAAACAATGAAAGAAGAAAACAGAGGCAACATTCAAAGACCAATCAAACAACTTCCCATATAATAGTACAAGAAAAATATTAATTAATAATGAGGGG